GTTTTAAGTAAAAAAGATTACATGGAAGCCTCTTATAAAACTATAGACGTAACGAAATAATAATCACACCTTTCTCAACCTTTTGGCTAAGATCAAGTGTAGTACTAAATTTTTTTGGGTAGGCATTTTGGCTAACATTTCTTGGTTTTTTGGCTAAGATCAAGTGTAGTACTACTTTCTTGGCCTTTTAGCTTTCAATATTTATTTATTAATATATAAAAAAAGAGTCTTTATAAACAAAAAATTACCTAAAAATTATTTTTAAAGGTTTAATTCAAATTACAAATTACCTAATAAAATTCATTTTTCTTGTCCTACATTGGTTTTAAATAAAAAAAAAAAGATTACATGGAAGTCTCTTATAAAACTATAGAGCTAAAGAAATAATAATCATGTATTTTTTAGCCTTCTGGCTAAGATTAAGTGTAGTACTACTTTTTTGGCCTTTTGGCTTTTAGTATTTATTTATTAATATATAAAAACAGAGTTTTTATAAACAAAAAATTATCTAAAATTTATTTAAAGAGTTTAATTCAAATTTCAAATTACCTAATAAAATTTATAAAAATTAATTTAAAGAGTTTAATTCAAATTACAAATTATGTAATAAAATTCATTTTTTCTTGTTCCACATTGGTTTTAAATAAAAAAAGGATTACGTGGAAAAATTATTTAAAAATTATTTAAAGAGTTTAATTCAAATTATAAATTACATAATAAAATTTATAAAAATTAATTTAAAAGGTTTTATTCAAATTATAAATTACCTAATAAAATTTCATTTTTCTCGTCTCCTATTGGTTTTAAGTAAAAAGGATTATATGGAAACCTCTTATAAAACTATAAACCTAAAGAAATAATAGTCACACCTTTCTCAGTCTTTTGGTTAAGATCAAGTGTAATACTAAATTTTTTTGGGTCGGCCTTTTGGCTAATCTTTCTTGTTTTGTTTGGCTAAGATTAAGTGTAGTACTACTTTCTTGGCCTTCTGGTTTTCAGTATTTATTTATTAATATAAAAAAAAAAAGAACCTTTATAAACAAAAAATTACCTAAAAATTATTTTAAAAGGTTTAATTCAAATTATAAATTACTTAATAAAATTTATAAAAAATAATTTAAAGAGTTCAATTCAGATTACAAATTACCTAATAAAATTCATTTTTCTTGTCCCACATTTGTTTTAAGTAAAAAAGATTACATGGAAGTCTCTTATAAAACTATAAAGCTAAAGAAATAATAGTCACGCATTTTTCGGTCTTTTGGTTAAGATCAAGTGTAGTACTATTTTCTCGGCCTTTTGGTTTTCAGTATTTATTAATATATAAAAAAAAGTTTTTATAAACAAAAAATTACCTAAAAATTATTTAAAGAGTTTAATTCAAATTACAATTACCTAATAAAATTTATTTTTCTTGTCCCACATTGGTTTTAAGTAAAAAAGATTACATGGAGGTCTCTTATAAGATTATAGACCTAAAGAAATAATAATCACACCTTCCTCGGCCTTTTGGCTAAGATCAAGTGTAGTACTACTTTGTCAACCTATTGTTTCTAAAAATATATATATTCTCTCTATATATGCCTTTTTTTTGCCTTGCTACACAAAATATATTTCGAATTTTACAAACTCTAAAAATTATTACATAATAAGATTCAAATAAATTATTTATTAAAACTCTAACATGAAATATATTTCAAATTATTGAAACTCTAAAAATTATTACCTAATAAAATTCAAATAAGATATAATTATTACCTAAGAAAATTCAAATAAAATATTTATTAAAACTCTAACACGAAATGCATTTCAAATTATATATTTTAAATTATAGAAACTCTAAAAATATTACCTAATAAAATTCAAATAAAATATAAAAATTTTTACCTAATAAAATTCAAATAAAATATTTATTAAAACTCTAACACGAAATACATTTCAATTTATATATTTCAAATTATAGAAAATCTAAAAATTATTATCTAATAAAATTCAAATAAAATATTTATTAAAACTCCAATACAAAATATATTTCAAATTATGGAAACTCTAAAAAAGAGTTTCTATAAAACTCTGAAAATTATTACCTAATAAAATTTAAATTACCTATTTTATATATTTGTTGTTTCTAAAAAAATCTATACTTTCTCTATATATAAGTCTTTTTTCGCCTTCCTGTAATCACATCAGTTTTATATGTTTTGTTCCAAGGTACTTGTAACCCCCATTATGCATTGTTTTATCCCCCAGATTATGCATTGTTTTATCATTTTTTTGTTTGTCTCACCCCCATATCATGCATTATTTTATTATTTTTTATTTATCTTATACCCAGATCATGAATTGTTTTATTAATTTTTATTTATCTCATACCCATATCATGCATTGTTTTATTATTTTTTTGAGTAATAAATTCTTTTATATGTCCATGGCTTATGCTTTCCGAATATGATATTCTCTGTAGAATAACCCTCAGCATTTTAACCCCCGAAGAAACTGACTATTTGACTGGCCACATTCATAATGGTGAAACTGAAGTTGTTGAATTGAAGTTTCTTAATAACAACTCAATTGAAGTTGAGGAGCATGAAGTATTAAGCTTAGAAACAATAAAATTTAATTTTGTGAACTTCAAGGAGTTGAACAAGTACATTGATGCAATATATATATATATATATATATATATATATGGGTTAGTTTTCGTTTAATTCTCAACTCTCCATATATATGTTCTCTCTTGTATATATATTTAAAAAAAAATTAAAATTAAAATTAACATTAACATTAATATTTTATTTTTTATTTTATTTTTAATCTTGCTAGATATTTTGGGAATTGTTATTGAGGTATCTCTTTCATTGAACATGTAAGAAGAACAACAAAGACACAACCAAAAAGCAGGAAGTCATTATAATGGATATAAGATATGTCATTATAATGCAAATATAATATAATGACTAAAGTAATTAAATTTTATTACAGTTGAAGGACAACTACTTTGACATTATAGGAGGATCTTGCTGATAATGAAGGAAACTTTATCATGGAGCTAATACAGGAAAGACCTATTATCACACTTACACATGTGGCAATCAACACCTACAAAGGTAAATTATCATACAAATTGATATTATTTACACTATATATTATTAAGTAAATCTATAATAACAAACTTTTACAAATAACAATGTATATTCTAGGTCCGTCTCTTCAAACACAAAAAAAGATCTACATTGCAAATTAATTTGAATATTGAAAGTGTCAAAGCATTAAGATATTGATTCGTTATTTATTGTAACTTCTTTTACATTATATATACACTATTTGTAGAAGGAGAACATGTTTTTTTGTTTTATTTATTTAATTATTTTACAAAATAATTTATATGTGGACAGGTCCAAAGAGAACATAAATAACAAAGATATAAAAAGTTTGATTTCTAGTACAAAAGATCAAAAATTCAATGGTGCTGAAAAGTCAAACTTCAAGACATAATAGGAAAATCTATAATGTCCTTTGAGGTATTAAATTTCAATATATTTCTTAATCTTTCTTAATTGTGTATCACATTTTTATATTCAATTTATATATTGAGAAGTTATATTTTGTTGCACAACCTGCAGAAACCAAATTACTTTTTTGAAGCAATAATTGAAAATGTTGTTAATGATCGCAAACCGTGGTACAACGTGTATGAAAAATGCAACAAGAAAATTAAAGTTGAAAAAGATAGAGTATATTGTCCTCGATGCAACACAACAGACCCAAAATGCTTTCAAAAGTATTATTATATCTTAAAATCTCATTATTGTATTTATTTCATTGGTTTAATAATATTACAAATACATAATTTTTTGTCTTTACTTATGTGCAGATTCATGATGATAATTAAAGTGCGAAGTATGGAATATATTGGAACACTTGTAACCCTAACAGTGTTCAATGATTGTCAAATATTAATAAATTGTTCACTAGATGATTTGCTAAAATTACAAATTGAGGTGATTTTCCATCCTTATTCATTAAATTTTAATTAAATTAAAAAAATATTTACTTGAATTTCTCAATAGCTCTAAATTATCAGTAGCTCTAAATTATATTTGTTCTCTTTGCAAGACATGGATGAATTTAGCAACAAAGTGACAAGCTGCAAAGGAAAATATTTTATTTTTCTGGCGAAGATAGACAATACTCAACCAGTCGTGAAAACTTATTTTGCGGTGGAAGAAATAAAAGAATTGACATTTGACAATAATTCATTTCATGAAGAAATGAGATATGCAAAAAAGATAAAGAATGAGAAATAAATAATTTAAGAATATTTTTATTTTCAAACAGTTATAGTTTTGGATTTTCTAATATATTTTGTTTCTTTTAATGTGACAATTATTATAATCTAAAAATTGTTGGTAGCCTTTCGGATTTTATAGGATATAGAATTTTTATATAGTATTTATTTATATGAATATTTTGTAAATTATAGAATTTTATTTTCATATATATTTGTAAATGTTTATAATTTTCATTTATACATTAATGGAAAAACTTATTTTGTTTCTTTTGAAGTGACAATTATTACTCTCTAAGGCATTCTGACCTGAAACTGTTTTGTCCTTATTTTTTATAAAACTATAAATAATTAAAAAAATATATAAAAATATAAATTATATAAGTTAGAAAATATTCATCACATGCATTGCACGTGCCTTTTACTAGTTATTATTAAAAGTGTAAATTTTTTCAGTGTTTAAGTATTTATTTATTAATATAAAAAATATTTATTAATTGATATTAAGTGATTTAAAATAAAATAGTTTCAAATCATTATTAAAACAATAAAAAAATATATAGGTAAAATGGGTAATTATTTAATAAAATAATTTATCAAATAATAAAATAAATTACAAAACATGTTACTAGTGTGTGTGTGTGCATATATATATATATATAAATATAGAAAACGACTTTTCCATTCGCTCTTCTCTATCTCTCATGGGGTCGTTTGCTCTCTCTCAAGTTGTTGGAATCTAGGACTGTGTTCTGCTTGCAATGGATAGTCGGAAGAGAGTCGGGCCTGAAGCTGCCTTCAATGCAAATAGCGGTGCCAAGAAATTGAAGCAAGGTTCGTTCCTCTGTAATTTTGTTTGTATAGTTTACATATGTATCTGTTCATGTACGTAGTTTTTTGGTGCGATGTTGCCTTTTTCTCCGTTCGATTTTCTGTTAGCGGTGCCAAGAAATTGAAGCAAGATGTCTTGAGACGACTGTTCGTGTTGATTCTAGCTCTTGTTGTTTTCATGGTTATTTTTTTTCGGGGGTTTGTACCTGGAATACATTTTATTTTGAAAAAGTTAAATTGGTTGTATTTTATGCTTCTCTTTTACTGGTGTGTGTCCTAGTTGTTTGGTTATTATATGAACTGGCCTAAGTTGTGATAAATTAAGATCCCCTTTGTGAAGGCATTGGAAAGCAAAAACTACGAATAACCAATTTTGAGAAGGAAGTACTGTATCTATGACCCATATAAAATGTTTCTGTTTTCGCTAATTCTTATTTATTGCTTAAAATTATATCATGCAAAATTTTCACTAGTTTTTGTCAATGACACAGATTTTACGCCAATTTTGACTGTGCACTGCATCATCATCATCATTATTGTATTAAAGCTTTTCTTTCTAACACACTATGGTTGAAGTTTCTAGACATATTTATAAGCCTAACCAAGGTCAAAATAGGTCAAATCAAGGAGTGCATACAAAATTTAACATTAGAGGAGGGACACTTTGTGGAAAGCGGAAAAGCACACTGAGATGGTTTTGGAAACAGTTTATCTAATTACGCATTTTGTGTTCTGAAATTGAGAAAATTTTAATTTTTAGCAACTCATCGTTGCCAAACAAAGAGGGGCATCTGTAGACACTCCAATTTCTGGAGATCATTTGAGCCCCCTGCCGAGCTCCTGAAGTTTCTATTTCTGCCCAGATTTCTCCCCAGACCAGCAGTCACTCAAATGGCCACCCATTCGCTATAAGAAAACACGTAAAGAACATTTGTAATAAAAAATCCATGCATCAACAAGTAATTTGTACTTGTGATGGCTATTATATATCACCTTAAAAACCATGGTACGAGTGTGTCAGTGAAATTCGGAAGAGAACTCAAGAGAGGAGTAGTTTTATCCTCTTCAATTTTTAATCAAGGGGTGAACAGAATGCGTTTTATTAATATATACAATTAATGAGATGTACAAATTGTTCACCATCCAAAATCTGTTGTGAAAAAGAATCTAAATTAATCAGCCTATAGATCGATCGCAGCTGAGTAAATATCGATCGTTGTACATCATTTAGGGTTCAATTGAAGTCTCCCCACCCGATGAAAATGCTACATATCCCAGTTCTTGAATTGTGTGGGAATCAGGTCATTGAACATTTAACAAATACAACTCCCACCTGACACTTAGTTAGGAAAAGAAGCAATAAAATACGTCTCGTGTAGTTATATATAATAATAATGACTTGGCCTATAAATCATTATGCTTAGAATTATTCAAGTTGCTTGAACATTTCGCTGGCATTGTCATCTGAGGCAATAACAGCAGGCATTGGACTGTGGTACAAGAGTTTGTAAAGTCAAAACCCAAGAAATCTTTTCTAGGTCGTGTGATTCTTCGAGAAGCTCATCATTCTAAATTTTTGCCTTCATTGGTAAAAAGTAATTATTATGCGTGTAGTGTATTCTTAAAAGTATCTAGATCGGAGGTTTAGAACATTCTACTGGGAAGAAGCAATTAATGTTTTGTTTTGTAAAAGCAATGGAGTCTTCATCAACTGGTATGGGAAGCAAAATGAAGCCGTTTACAAAAATTTTCAGGTTCAAATCCTCACCTATCTATTTTTGTCTTTTTGAATTGCATCTTGTCACTCAGTTATGTTTAGGCTTTATTTATTTTAATTTTTTTCAGTTGGGATGAAACAATCCTATGCAATGTTGGTGCCGCCACACCAATGCAAGTTAATGAGATGGTTTTGGAGTTTTTTATGCATAGGATCACAATATCTTTTCAGTATATAGGTGCAATCTAATGTATTGGTGGTTCATGTTTTATTTTGCAGCATCGCTGATTTCGAGATGAGAAATTTGGGACCAAATCGAGCTACAATGTACGTGGCATCCCCACCAACCATCCCAGATGGCTTTGACCAACCTGCTTTTAAAACCCGTCTGTGCGGCGATTATTATACTACTAAAGGCTGCGAACTTGGAGACAAATGCCATTTTGCCAATGGCATTTGCAAATTTGGAAAGCCTTTTTCTCTAACCCTTGATGAGGATTTCCGTGCCCTGGCTTCAGGCCGTTTTGATGGTAAACGGAGGCTACCTTACTCACGTCCTCCCTTGAGCATTAAGGAAGATCCACTTGCTGTCAAATTTAGTGTAGATGCTTCCCTTGCTGGAACCATCATTGATGATTTGAAAAATATGTTGTGTCGTTTAGATGTTAAACTATTCATCGGAGAGCACGAGTCAAAACCTAATCTCAAGAACATTGAGCTTCAGGGCAAGTTTCATTCGCTCAAGATAGCGAGCTCTATGGTAATAGAGCAGATTGAACATATTCGTGGAGCTCCCACCTACAAAATGGAACTGTGAGGGGTAAGCTATTTATGGTATTGAATTACTACTATTTTCAGGTTTCTTTGTTTTATTTCTCAAACCTTGATATCTCGGGTTATAGTATCTTTTTTTTTCCTTTTTCCCTCTATTGTCAATGTGTTTTGTGCTTCTGTGCGTTCTGCCTGTAAATGGATGCTGATTGTTGTAGATTAATATGATCCATGAAACATGTTGCAGACTTATTGAAATTTAAAGCCACGTGCTATTCCTTGCTTCGGTATATGGGCAGGCATGTTTGTCCTATATAATAGATATAACTTAGAAGATAGGGTTACCATCAGACTCAAATCTAACAATGCTCAAATCATCTTGTTGGGGATCCCTGGGAGAGAAGAAATGCTTTGTTATTTGGCATTTTTGCAAGTTTGATGAGTTGGGTTTAGCTAGCTATAGACAATATATATAATTTTTAATTACCGAAAAATAGAAATATGGACAAAATTAGTGTTAGATGCTTCCCTTGCTGTAGCCATTATTGGGTTTGATGATTTGAAAAATATGCCGTGTCACGTTTAAAGTTAAAATATTCATCCGAGAGCACGAGTCAAGTCCTAATCTCAAGAACATTGAGCTTCAGGGCAAGTTTCAACAGCTCAAGTTAGCAAGCTCTATGGTAATAGAGCAGATCGGACGTATTCATGAAGCTCCCACCTACAAAATGAAACTATGATGGGGAAGGTCTTTATGTTATTTGAATTACTACCATTTTCAGGTTTTTTGAGTTTTATATTATATTAAATCGTTAGTGTTTCTTCATAATAATAATAATAATAAAACTTCCTGCATACTATTGCCAACAATAAAATAGGTAAACTGTATCTAGGTGGCCATTAAATACCCTTAGAATAACAACAAAATTTAGTTCTCAGGAAGTCCATTTATTTCCTTAATGTTTACTTGTGGGAGAGGAGGTGTCTTGTAGAATTTTTGGTATTTCAGGATTATTATTTGCTAAAAATTTAGTACAGGGGGTGAAATTTAGTGCAAGGCTTAATATGTACAGATTTTATGAACCAGGAAGGTGTTATACAATAAACCCTTTTGGCATGAATCATGGTCTAAAAGTGGTAAATGTTAGGGAGTTGAGCAATCTTCTCTTTTTCTACTGGGATGAAGCTATTGTTGCATTTTGTTTTATGATGCTTCTGCCTGTTCAGGATGAAAATGCTCGGAGGTGAGAGAGAGCAAACACATCATTGTGCTCAGATGGAGCTTTTGTTACATTTGAAGTGTGATGCTTGTCCAAGGTGCCTTTCAGCCTTGATTCAGCTTGTATCTATAGGCTTGAATTTGTTGAACTTTGTTCCAAATGATTGTTGATCAAGTCACTTGTTTGGCTGTTGAAGCTCTTTTGCTGACCTGAGAATGCAACTCAAAGCTGAACAACTGTAATATAAGTATACAACCAATCCTTAGAAAAGGTAGATCAAGGGATGGCAATTTATCCTCCCTGCACCGTTTAAACCGGTTTTGCGGGGGGGGGGGGGGGAACCCGCACGGGTTTGGGGCGGGGGAAGGTTGTTTGGGAAATTAACTCCCTTCTACCCACTTAATGATAGACTGTTGTTGAAGGTTAAATCCATCATTCATCACATACAACGAAAGTATCATCACATCACATCAATACAACGCATATAGTAGATAAGAATTATACACATCCACGCACAACAAAATATTTCACATGGTTCACTTTACTCTAGGATTACGTCAATGGAGAGAGAGATTTCATTATTATGAATCAAGTAAGAGAATATGAAACCATCCACGTACAACAAAATTAGTGTAGATGCTTCCCATGCTGGAGCAATCATTGATGATTTGAAAAATATACTGTCGTTTAGATGTTAAACTATTCGTCAGAGGGCATGAGTCAAAACCTAATCTCAAGAACATTGAGCTTCAGGGCAAGTTTCATTCGCTCAAGATAGCGAGCTTTATGGTGATAGAGCAGATTGAACATATTCGTGGAGCTCCCACCTACAAACTGAAACTGTGAGGGGTAAGCTATTTATGGTATTGAATTAGTACTATTTTCAGGTTTCTTTGTTTTAATTTTCAAACCTTGATATCTCGGGTTGTAGTATCTTTTTTTTCTTTTTTCCCTCTATTATCAATTTGTTTTTTGCTTCTGTGTGTTCTGCCTGTAAATGGATGCTGATTGTTGTAGATTAATATGATCCATGAATCATGTTGTAGACTTACTGAAATTTAAAGCCACGTGCTGATTGTTGTAGATTAATATGATCCATGAATCATGTTGCAGACTTATTGAAATTTAAAGCCACATGCTATTCCTTGCTTCGGTATATGGGCAGGCATGTTTGTCATATGTAATAAATATAACTTAGAAGATAGAGGGTTACCATCAGACTCAAATCTAACAATGCTCAAATCATCTTGTTGGGGATCCCAGGGAGAGAAGAAATGCTTTGTTATTTGGCATTTTTGCAAGTTTGATGAATTAGGTTTAGCTAACTGACCGGTCCTTTACAAGGGTCGCGATACCAAGTCAAGCTTGAAGAGTTGTGAATTTAGGAGGTGGCCAAGTTTTACATTTATAGAAAGCCACTACTACCTTTCTCTATATAAAATATAGATAGGGCGAGTAGGGATCGTCCCAAGGGATTAGATGGTGTATCGAATTGTGAAACTATGGTAATTAGGGTTAGTAGGTCGAGTGATCACACAATTGATTGGTTGGTTGATTATACTAAATGAGCTAAACTATAATAAAGCAATGCAATAAGATAGAGAGTAAGTAAGAAGGAAAGGTCTTGGGGTGTAGAGATCACCACCAAACAATACTATTCCAAACCATAATCAAGTGACTAATGAGGGAAATGAATGTGTTGCAACAATGTTGTGTGTGTAAGACATTCAATTGGTAAGGGTGACTCAACAAGTGCAAATTGTCTCAATCAACATGTGTGAGGCCACAATACATCTATTGGTAGAGGAATATATTGTCTAAACCCATGTGAAAGATACAACATATCATAACTAGTCATTAATCCTTCATTAAGCTCAAAATTCCATTACACCACAATATTAGAGCATATGCTTCTTGCATTCAAAAGCATGGAACATCAAAGAACAAGCATGAATTGTTTCCCCAACTAACACTACACTACTTAAAAGAGAAGCACAATCCATCAAGGAATAAGTATGAACCATCTAGAGACATAACAAGAGCATTACATTAAGAACTTCATATTTTGACAATCTCAAGATTAAAGGCATTAATACACATAGACATGCATCAATAACATTAAATCTAGAGGTGAGCATCTTCTCTAGCATACATAGACATTTAGATAGAGAAAATGATCAATTAGAAGCATTAATCCATAGAACTCAATGAATAATCAAGATCTTCATAAGTTCAAGAGTCAAAATATGCATTACAACACAAATTCCTCAAAATTATACAAGATTAGGTAAAGAAAGCATGTTTGGGGCTAACTTTATCCCCAAAAGGATGTCTAGCCACTCATGATGATGAAGCTCCAACCCTCAAGGGCTAAATCCATGGTGAAAATCTGCTCCTTGATGATGAAGGTCTCCTCCAAAGGTTGCTCTAGCTTCCTCCCTTCTTCCTCTCCAAGAATAGCCTCCAAGATGATTTTCAATGTGTGACAAGAGACTCTCTCAAAAAATGTATCATATTCCTTATATAGGTAGGTCAAATACACCCCATGATGAGCTGTGGTCGTGCAAGGCATATTCTCCAATGATTGGATGAAGGACGGAATAAATGAGCTGGACTTTAACTTTTTCTCGCTGGAGGAAGTTCGATCGATCGAACCTTAACTTGGATCGATCGAAAATGGGTTCGATCGATCGAACTGCATCTTGGATTGATCGAAGTGGTCTGACTCCTCCGGATAATGACAAGGCTGGGATATTTTCAAGATATTTATGGGGAAAAAGACAAAAGTGGTTGGTAGGCGTACAGCTGTGGATAAGATCAATCATTTGAATAGGACAAAATAGGGTTCGATCGATCGAAGGTGATGTTCGATCGATCGAACTTGGAATTTCAGCAAAGGCCAAGGTTGGATCTATCGAGAAGTACTGTGATCGATCATAGATGTTCGATCGATCGAACTCTAAGTTGGATCGATCGAACTTTTCAGCTGCACAACTTGATTCCTTTTTGCTCCTTTCTTTCTCCACTTTGCTCCCTCCTTTGGTTTATCTCAGGATTGCTTCAATTAAGCTCTTATTTGGCTGAGTTAGCTAAATTTTGGGATTAGTGCCTGAAAATATAAATAACACGTAATAAGTCTAAAACGGCAAAGTAAGATAGATAAAGGTACTAGAATGCTTAAGCTTAACGGGTTTAAATGCGCACTTTTCAGTGCTCATCACACCCCCAAACTTAAATATTGCTAGTCCCTAGCAATGAATTAAGAAGTAAAGGAATGAAATAAACAACTATACAAGTATAAACTGGAAAGCAAGTAAAATGATAACACCATTTTCGTAGGGAACACGATTGCATTTAGCATATGCAACAAGCCTTTTAAACCCCTAGGTTACCCCTAGTGGACGAGTAAAGTCTCGTGAGGGTTTCCAGAAATGGTACCCACAAACCTTAAGCTCATTCTTTCAAAAGAGGCACCAATATTGCAAACAAGCATTGGGAGAAAACTACCTCAAGTATGCAATTTTTCAACCGTTTCTAAGCAATCTCCCAAAATTTCAATATCAAGCAAGCAAGTATGGTCCTCCACATATCAAGAAAATGATCATGAAAATCGAAACAAGTCTAGAATCCATGTGAAAGGTCCGGCATCAAGTGTGTTGCTATTTTAGCCAACTAGAGAAGTAATCACATCCTTACTCTCAAACTAGCACACAAATCTAGTACCGATCATCAAGATAAGAGAGTGGACCTTTTATTAAAGCTTTATTTTTCTAGGTGCGCTTATTCTTTTCACTCATTTTCTTCTTCTTCTTTTTTTTTTTTTTTCTTC